TATCAGTGTTAACCAATGGATTAAAAATGGAAGTGGTGAGCAGTCAGGGACTGCAGTCAGACCAGCTGGTTTCAAGTCCTCCCTCTGCCACCAGCAAGGTGTGGGATTACTGTAGGCCAGTTACTTAACCTCTCTAATCCTCAGTTTTCGCAACTCGAAAATTTAGAAAATCACAATAATTTGGGTTCTATAGAGGACTGCTGTGGAGATCAACGGAGAAATACATGGAAAACATGTAACCCAATGGCCAAACAGTAATTGCTCAACAAATGTTGACTATTTATTGTCTCTTTACTGCCCTCAGCAAGCAAATTCAGAGAATTGTTTTCTCAGACTAAGTGTTCCATACAGCAAGCAGTGTTAAAAATTAATTTATGAAACATGAGATCTATAATAAAAAAACAACTATCTGGCAAAAGTTTTTGTAATTTTCAAAGGGGAATGATTGCTCTATTTTTTTGAATCCTCACCCGAGGATATTTTTCCATTTATTTTCAGATAGAGTGGGGTGGGGGCGTGAGAAACATCAACATGAGAGAGACACATCGAGTGGCTGCCTCCCACACGACCCCAGCCAGGGCCAGGGACAAACCACAACCGAGGTACGAGCCCTTGACGGGAATCGAACCCGAGACTCTTTGGTTCACGGACCGACACTAACCACTGAGTAAACCAACCAGGTCTGGTTGTTCTATTATAAAGAGTATTCATAATAATCACTTACAATAGGCCAGATCCATGCCAAGCACTTTCACTGAATCCTCACAAAAATATCATAAAGTAACTGGTTTTGCAAACCCAGTGAAGTAACCTGAATGCAGTAAGTGAATCACTAATGAAATGTTACAAAGGGGGAAATCAGGCTTAGAGAGGCTTAATCATAGGCTCAGCCACTCAGAAAAAAAATTATATTGGCAACAGCCAACTGGAAAGTTGAAGAAACTCGTGTGGCTAACGAAGATACTAGCTCTGACCGGAAGAATGTTGTCAAATAATTGAAAGGAAAAGTTGATGTCAAAAGGTAAGTGGCTATTAAAAAATAATGTCTGAATATCAGGTACCATGGTGGATAGTCAAAAGTCCTTTTAAGAATAAGAGGAATTATACATTAAATTGGTAAATAAAATGACTTTGCCTTTTGTATTTAGGGGAGTAAACAGCTAACGAAATAGAAAATCAAAACAGAAGCCATTTCATAGTTGGACTTGGAAAATTTACATATTTGCCATATAACTCAGAATAAAAGTGCCAGATAAACTGCTTATGGTATCAAAGTTTCAAATTTATTAAATGTATGATCATATATATTCTAAACATCCTTCTATGCATAAGTTCAAGTTTAAATGAAACATTTACTGACCCCGATCACAAAACAATATAACACTCAGTGAATATTTATTGAATAAATGAAAAAAAAGACAAGTAAATTATATAACTTTTTAATGTTACTCTATAATCAGTGTTAAGTGTTTACTTACAGCTTAAAAAATAATTTCAAGGATTTTTACAAAAATCAGATCATTAAATATAATGGAAATGTTATTTTTACCTTCTTTGGTGCTCACTATAAATTTTTAATATATTTATTTATATGTGTCAGGTAAGATGTAATTTGATATCTGTATGCATTATAGTGTGCTCACCATCAAAAGTCTAGTTTCCTGCTCACTATAAATTCTTAAAAGAAATTCATATCCTCAAAAATATAGTTACTTTATGACTATAATTGAAAAACTACAAAGAAGAAATTTAAAAAGAATCTATAATCACAAATCTTAGACATCAGTATATGGGGAAAAGTATGTTTAATTTCATCAACAATCATTCCAGACAGAAATTTGAAACCTTAGGTAAGGTCGCCACAGGGTGGTCAAAGTCAGGAACAGCAGGCTAAAATTAAAGCATACTTGATAACTGAATAAAATTTCTAATTAAAATTAAATTGGAAAATAAAGACTTAGGATCTTGAAATAAAACATTTAAATTTTGAAATCTATGTTTTCTTTATTAATTAGAGCTTCTGATATAATTTTAGCAATTAAAATTATTAAAACATAATGACAACAATGACATCAGTGTGGTAACTGCGATAGTTACCAAACATTTACATCTGCGTGTTAAATGCACAGAGGGGCTCTGATCTCTCTTGGATCAGAGCCTGGGTCGTCTGTCAGTGTTTTATTCACCCTCGTGCCTGTCACTTTCCCTGACTTGTGGTATGTGCTCAGTACAACGTGTTTAAATGAACAAATAATACTCAATTATTGAACCATTACCAGAATTAAAAAATATATACCAAAATATTATTTAAGAAACCAAAAATGTATGTCCTGATGTTTTTACCTACACAACTTGAATAACAGACATTGCAGTCAGCCCTGTTCCTTGCTTTGCATTTCCTGTCCCCCAATACCTGTGATCTCTACTGTTTTTCATTCACTCAGCTTCAGATAAGAAGAGCCACTCCTTGGGACAATGGTCTGCTAAGGAGCCCAGAAGCAATCACTACCCATTAGAACAATCTTCCAAAAAGTGGATCAAACCCCTAAGGTGTTTTCACTTGAATTTTATGTTGTATATTTAGCAGTGAAGTCTGACTTTGAAGTTTGCCTTGAAAGAGATAGAAGATGTGAGGGAAAGCTTTATGGATTTCTTAGGTTCAAAAGACAGAATTATTAATAATTTATGTTAAAATATTCTTTCCTCCCCCCCCCTTTGTTGGCATTTAGAGAATTGAATCCTATCTGTCCATCTACAAAGTGTTACTATGTGCATGCGATATTTTCACTCAATCGGTTGCTTCTTTAGCCAGTGAGACTGTTTTCTACCACTCCTGCATCATTACTTGGGACGAGCACAGGATGGGCTGCAGCTCGGATTCTCCTGTGGACCAGCTGAGGGGCACCTACAGGAGCCTCTGTGGCTACCGTCTACAAAAAAGAGGGACTATCATCGTAAGTGATGGTCAAAGTCTTTTACATTTTTTATGGTCTGCTTTATTATTTATTTCTTAATTAGTATTCCAGTTATTTCTTTATTTTCCACTCTTTTTAAGGCAAGGGGCTCTTTTCTCCTTCTATCTCCCTCTCTCCCTTTCTTAATTTCTTTTCTGACGTGTTTATTTACATCAATGAACACAATGTAACTATTATGATAAAGATTGTCAGGAAGCTCCACATACAAAGTTTCAGCTCAAATTAGGGCAATTTATACCCCGAAATCTGTTTATACAGACTTCACAGCAGCTATTAACTACTTGTATAAGTTATGGTTGTTACATTTTTGGAATTATTCAATTTATAAAACCAAGGCTCTAAGCAAATTCAAAAGTCTATTTAAAAAAAATATATCTCTGTTTAGCTGACTTTAGTTTTTCTTAAACTGAGTACAAACTGAGTGTCATTTGCTTCTCTTGCAAAACAAAACACAATTTGAAGAAACTATTAAAGACATCGGTGTCAGTTTTCTAGTGTTGGGCATGATTATGATTAAGCATCTCAACAGCGTTTCAGACATATAAGGAAAAGATAACACGTGTATGAAGTTCTGAGAGTTCTCTGCCAGTTCCCAGTTGTTATATTTTAAAGTGTTAGTTTAGTTCAGAAAAAGAGATACTCATTGGATTTACTGTAGACTTACAGTGTAGCTAAATCTATGAGATTAAAAAGAAAGAAAAAGAGATTACATTTTTAATACATGAAAGACATTAACACTGATGATGCATCGATAGTTATTCTATGAATCTATTTAATGACATTTAAGAAGAAATGTCTTCATCTAGTTAAAATCAATCTTAACCTGACTGAAAGTTTCTTTTGACTATTAAAGTGGGAAGTTCTGGAAGAACTTTTTAAAAGAGCTAGACTATTTGAAAGAATAATATTATTATAATATATACATACCATTCTTCAGATTTCATAGGACTTTAAAAATGTTAAATATTTTATAACTCAGAACTCAAACTCAAATTTCACTTCTGTATTCATAATTGACTTTTAAATTTAAATTAAAGTTTTATTAACGAAGCATAGGCCTTTCTGCTCCTGAACAGTCACCCTTCTAGAGAACAAACTGGTAGAAGCAGTACTCAATTTGTGCGTGTGTGTTTTTGTTGTTTTTTTAGATTTTTTAAAAATTTGTTCTTAGAGAGAGATGATGAGGGAGGGGGAGAGACTTAGAAACATTGATGTGAGAGTGAAACAGCCATCATTTGCTGCCTCCTGCACGCCCCCCACCTGGGATGGAGCCTGAAACCTGAGCATGTGCCCTGACCAGGAATCAAACAGGCCACCTTTTGGTGCACGGGACGATGCCCAGCCACCTGAGCCACACCGGCCAGGGCCTCAGTTTGTTTTTTAACTACACTATAAACTAGATAGCCCTATCAGTGCACCAGTAATGCCTCCAAGCAAGTTGTTATTCCTGCATTACTTCCCAGTCTTTTCCCTCTATTTTCTTTATATCTATACAAGGGCATTCCTGTCCTTAATTAAAGGGCTTGTATCACATATGCTTTCCTCTTCTTAAAATAAAACAGCATTTAACCCTTTTCAAATCACATGCTTCATTCTCCAAAGCTCCCCATATATATATTTTATCTATTTCTTACCCTCAGAAAATAAAATAGATGCCCTAAAGTAATCATTTTAACAAAAGATATGTTCTACGCTCTTACTTCCTTTAAAGTGAAAGTGAAGACACTAGAACCCAGACTACAGATATATTGAGGTGTACTACAGCAATATAAAAATTGTATTATAATTAAGGGGAAGTGGACCTAAAGCACAAAGAATAGTTATTGATTAATATTTCTACCAAAATCCCCAGGGCTAGCCATTTTTCAAAAAGGTTCGGGAGTACTCTGATTAACATAAGGAGACCCATGAAAAGCTTTCTCTGCCTGTTTTTCAGTCTCGTGTCAATGATTACAGTAACAGAGCCTGTAGTGCAGACACAGGGGGTCCCGGGGATGTTAATACGGTGAAACTTAAATTACATACCATAAAATTCCGCTGGTAATGAATGTTCTCTTTGTTAAAATCAATCACGTAGCCATTGAAGGACCAAACGAAGGTGAGATCCAAGGCAGGGTCAAAGGAGGCGGCACACTGCATGGTGGCGTTTTCCCCAACGGTGATGTCAGTGTTAATAGGAGCCAATATAATCCGTGTGGGATCTGCGTGTTTTAAAATAAAGGAGCAAAGTACGGTTCAAGAAAATGTTATCTGCTACATTAAAAGAATAAGAATCAACATATTTCAATTTCTCTGTGTAAAGGAATATGATATTTTCAAATTTAAATTCCAGGAACAATTGCGTCAAGCATGAGATTTGCCCAGAGGCTTTTTAAATGGAAACGTATCACTGCGGGGACTGTCTTAGATGCTTAGTGCTAAACCTCATCTTATAGTACATTAGAAATGCAGCAAAGTCAAACTAAAAATAAAAACGCAATTTTAATTAAATGCTTGCTTACCTGTGATAACAAGGGTCCCAGTGCTATTAGCCTTCCCTCTGTTATTTTCTGCGAAGCACGTATAGATACCACCATCGTTCCTCGTGATGTTATTGATTTCCAAGCTGCCATCTTCCCAAATGAGTGTTCTATTGATATGAAAAAATTTGTAATTCATAAATTTAATTCATCAAATACTTCATTTTTTTGGTCTTAGATTATAGACGCTGGTGTCATTTGATTAGTACATTTTACACAAATCAGTTAACAGTGGGATTTTTTAAAAAAATTTATTTATTTATTTGAGAGAAAGCGAGTGAGAGAGAAAAGCAGTGACCTGTTGTTAACTTATTTATGTATTCACTGGTTGCTTCTGCTATGTGTCCTGACCAGAGGTCAAACCCACAAGCTCGGTGCATCAGGACGATACTCTAACCCCTGTGAAACCCGGCCAGGGTAACAGTGAGCTTTTTAAAGAGGAAACCTTGCAGCCTTTGTGTGTCATGTTCTTTCTCAGCATTGACAAGGTGTTTCAGAGAACAGGCTTCATCTTTTCTCGGTTGCAGTCTCTCCAACCAGCTTCCTGCTTTTACTCTTGCCTACCCTTAGTTTCTTTTCTTTGTGTCAGCCAGACATGAAGACACAAATGACCTAAGCTATCATGTCACTCTTCTGCTCAGCACTGTCACATCCAGTGACTTTGCACCTCACACACAGTAAAACCCACAGTCCTCTGATTGCCCTTTTAGGCCCTGGACCATTTCTCAGTTTCTTTCTCACATCCTTCAGGAATTTGCACCTTCAGAAAGCTTTGCCTGCTAATTCTAGTTAGTGTTGCCCACACGCGTGCACACACGGACACACACGCATGCACACAGGTACTGCTGTCTTGGCATTCCCCATATTTTCCCTCTTCCCACCTTTTTTTCCTCCTAATACATATTTCATCTGACATACTTTAGTTTTACTTATTAGCCTATCTTTCCATTAGATGGTAACATCTTTATGTTGAAAATTTGTATCTGCTTTGTACGGGGTCATGCCTCCAACAGATAATAGTTTCCATTTACTGGTTAGAAACAAAAAAATCTTGTGTGTGTGCCAGGAACACATTAAGTAGCGAAACACTGATCACTGAGTAGTCACTCAAGCAACCTTTCTATGAGTGACTGAACTACGTGGAGTTTAACTGAAGCAAGTGGTTTTCCACACGCCACAGACCGAAACCAGTCACAGTCCTCGAAGAAATGAGCCAGGTCTTCCAGAAATGTTACCTCAAGACTTCAATTCAGACTTTAGAGTTAGGACAGGCTGACATTTTCATGGCTACAGAGAAAAGCAAACATTTCCTTTTTTGAAACTGTTAAAGAAAGACATTCTAAAAGCCTCCCTTAGGAAACAGCTTTTGTAACAGATTAGTATTTAGGAAATTCTTATTTGAACAGAACTTAAACCTATTCTTTCTGCTTGTCTGTCTCTTCCTTAAAAGTTAGAGACTGAAAGCTCATTATATGTAATTTTATTATATGTAACTTTTATATATAACATGTATTTATCATGTAACCATATTCATCTTCTTTACATGTATTATTTCCAAAAACTTAATTTATCTCTGAACTTTACACAACACATGCTAATGATTCTTCATATATTCCATTTTACGGGCTACACTTGATAAAGAAAAAGTACTGTATATCTAACTTACCAATAAAAATCTCCATGTAAGATGTTCTACCAATAAGATAATTCAGGTTTTCCTTTCCTTTCTTTAACTATCCAGTTCAAACTTAGTTCATGACAGAGTACTTACTTTCTGCTTCGTGAAGAAGAAATGTAGTAACAAAATAATACAAGCATGAAAGTAATTGTTGGATACTGTGGACACTGACAATGTGCCTCTAGGTTCCCCAAGGACAGGACTGTGACTGACCCGCGGCCCAGAGGCTGCACTCAGAAACCATCGTGAGCTTGAGCCAAGGCCACGCTCTCCACAGGCGGCTCAGTGGGTGACTGAGCCCGGGAGGGACTGTAAGGCGGGCCCTTTCCTGGAACATACCGGGCTCCTTTGATGGGCATTTTATCTGGAGGGCTCCCCGGTGGTTGTACCTACTCTCTTAGATCTTCATGGAAGTCCAAGTCATTTCTACCCAGCTTTCCTTCCTTCTCTCCCCCCTTCCTCTGGAGGGAGACCTGCATCTTGGTCAGATGGCTGTCCATCACCCACCTGCTGTCTCCTCTGTTTTCTCTCCTATGCATTGTCACTAACGAATCTCTCTCATGGTTAATCCTATACTGGTGTCTGCTCTTTTGTTCCATGTTAACACAATACCGACATGACATGCCACAATTTTTTGCTCACTAAGCTCTAGTGCAAGTCCTTAGCCAATGTTTCACCCCACTTTCATTTAATTATTTTGCAAGTAAGCAATACAAATTATATTCAAGTCACAATGGAAAGAACAGCAATGATTATTCTTTCTAGAATCCACACTAATATTCTTAGTTTTCTCATGTATATTAGCTCTTGCTTGATCTTTATCATCTTTAAAAGGTATACTTCCTTCTATCACCCATTTCGCCTATACTTTCAGGCAGTTCTTCCCTGGCATTAAAATTAATGTGTGGTAAAAATATGTAAATATGTAGGGAGCTTGGTGTTTTGTTTTGTTTGTTTTTTAATAATAGTCCTTATTCTTAAGTCATTGTAGATTAAACTCCCAGGATGTTATCCTTGTTTTCAGATAATATGATACGGATAAACTGCCAGACAAGTTAGGGACTATCTGATCTTTAATGAATTACTCATTTCTGTCACCAAAATTCCTCCAGGAAAATCTCCACCTTATTTAGTCATTGTTAAAGTATACCAGCTCTGGAGTAGAAAAGAATTTTGGAGATACTCTTCCATAATGGCTCATATAAAGATGACTTTATAGCTAATAGCAGTCTATCAGATATAAATTAACAATTACAAAAAGTTCTGTTGGAGAATATATATGATTTTAGTCCAAAATAAAATAATATAATGAGAACTCAATTACAACTTATCAAGACTTATGTCTCCTCTCCACTGATTGCAAATATTGCATAAACCATTTTACAAGCCACTAACTGGGAGCAGAAATACATTTGTATTGTGGAGCCATTTTTTATAAGTATATTAATCAGAATGAAATTATAGTTATGCTTAAAGAGTCATTCAGTTACTCCTGGAATATTATTGTTCAACAGAAATATTTTATTTCTCTAAAAATAATTTACTAGCCTTGGGCTGTTTGCCTAAATGGTTAGAGCAACGGTCTTTGGACCAAAGAGTTGCAGGTTCGATTCTGGTCAAGGGCATATACCTTGGTTGCGGTTGGGTCCCCGGCCCTGGTCAGGGTCGATATGTCTCTCTCACATAGATGTTTCTCTCTCTCTCTCTCTCCCCCACTCTATCTGAAGATAAATAGAAAAATATCCTTGGGTAAGGGTTTAAACATATATAAATAAATAAATAAAAATAATTTATTAGTTTAACTTCTTTATACATACTATTTTACAACAATCAAACTTGTATTTACATGAAATACTATATCCATTATAAAGTGGTACTGAAATAACCTAGATACTAGTGGATTAAAGTAGTGAACAAAATTAATTTATAAATCCTTTCTTCAAAAAGTAGTACAATTTGATTTAAAGACTTAAAAATATTATGACAGGACTAAAATAGTAAAATTTTAGAAGCAGGCTTTTCTTTTTATGAACATGATGATATTAAAAACAAAACAAAACAAAACAAAAAACAAGTCCATAAAGTGTGGTTTAGAGAAATCCTTGGTTAGACAGGCCCATAATATTGGTACTCATTAGAATTGAAGCAAAAATTTTGTTATTAAGGGTGGAGAGCTCAGGGGGTGGAGGGTAGGAAATGGGCAATGCTATACCACAGGTTGTTTTAGGAGTAAGAACCCAACACTGGGATTACCTCTTGATCAGTCTCTGCATTGCTCATTGTCAGAGTGTTAATGTTTCAGCAGCAAATTGAACCAAATCAACTCTTCCTTTAACATTAAATCTTCTAGTGTCATTTTGTTAAATTCTTAATAACTCTTAGTTAGACATATTAACTGCAAATCTTGATGTTTTCAGGGAAGCAGCAGCTGTTCCTGAACAACCCCTCCCCACCCCATCTCTGTCCCATACATGCCATTCTTGTGATCATCCTAATAAGAGAACTGTGTTAGCATGTGTTCATTCATATCAACATGACATGAGTTTACATTTTTCAGTTTGGAGATTATCCACATACTTTTAGAAGGTCACTTTAACCTTCCCAGGCTTTAGATACATCAAAATATGATAATGACCCTCTTACCCACTTTACTGCATTATTGTGATCTCTATTATACACTTGGCCAGAATACTCTTCAAAAGGTAAAACTTTTTTTCCTTTCTTATTTAAGCCTTTACTCAGTCTCTACTACTCATAGATGAAGTCCAAGCCCCTAATCATAGAAAACATTATTATTGATGATCTGGCTTACTGTATCTCGTCCCTTAAATCTCTTCTCTGTTTTCCTCTGAGAAAAGCCTGCATTCTCGACATATCCTACACTCTCTGCCTTAGGGCATTTGCACATGCTACTCTCTCTGCCTGGAATATTTAAGGCCTCCCATTTTATGTCTCGTTTTTCCTATTTTCCATCGTGACTTTCTCCTCCTCCCACTTTAGTACTCAGTATAACCTTGGCTTCTTCTAGGAAATGTACAGAAAGTATTCAGATCATATAAATAATCTATGCAAGTCAGCTGCTTTTTGTTTTGTCCAGAAGCCACATTGGTAGCTGACCTACCTACTTGTTAAGGAGATGAGATGTTCCTATTCACTTAAGAAGATGGGAAAAAGTGATTTGTACTTTGAAGACATCTTTTTCATTTTCTTACTGAAATATTTAATAGGCTAATGGGCATAAAATTGAATAAAATGTGAAAGGATATAGATGCTCTTACTAGGGGAAAAATAAGTGAAAGAGATCCTATTTTATTTCTTATTGTTCATTATTTTGTGGCCTTGGGCAATTTACCAAGACTCTGAGTTTCGGTGTTCTAAATTTCTTATAAATTATAAAAGCCTAAAAATTAAATCCTGATTACAATAGATACTGACACTGTTAGGTTAAATATTTCTGCTTATCTTAGAACTAGAATATCTTCTGTAAAGAAAAGTTGGAACAAACAATGTATACATGACTAATAAGAAAACAAGTCCTCTGTAAAATAAACTTTCCCAAGTCGTGAATTCCAGCTGGATCTCTAGTTTCTGAGCTGACCTGCTGCCATTGACAAGCCACTCTGTCCCTTTGCTCCATGAAAATTTAGGTTTCGGTGCAGCTTTCGGTTTGCATTCGATGATGACCCTTCCGCCTTTAGCAGCCAGGATCTTCTTTTTCATAGGATTCATTTCAAAGGTTGGAGCCAAGGCTGAAAGAAAACAAATTATTATTATTTTTTTTTGAGGAAAAGAAAAACATGTCTTCTACACATTTTGTTTTCCTTTCTGATTACCAAAGATTAATTTCACACAATAGTATCAGCTATGACCAATAGACATTTCATATCTAATACTAATACCTTTTTCTTTTATTTAATAACTTTATAGAGGCATATTTAACTTACCGTAAAATCTACCAATTTTAAATGTATAATTCTTGCTGATTACTGGAGTGCTATATGATTTAGTTACAATCAGATAGTACATACATATTTACCTTGCAAGTAACATCTAATTCAATTGTTTTGACTAAATAGCTCAAGAGAAGTTCAGTAAAAGACTAGAGTAAATTGAGCACCATCATTAATGTTGACCTATGGTCATGATCAATACTCTCAAACACACTGTGAATGAACTCTCCTTAGTATACAAATGAGAGAAATAATGCCTATTAAAATTATATAAGTTGACAAAGAAGTCACAGGAAGTATCAGGTAGGATTTATGCTAGAATCTAGTTCCCTGTGATTGGCAAACATGTTTTTAGTAAGCAATATGACTCCTTTCTCATTAAACAGATATTTATGGAACACCAATTGTGTGCAGATACTATGAGATGCCAAAATAAACATGGAGAACCCTGACTGCTGGGGAATAATGGATCCAATGAATTGAGGGAGGCATGATTCACTGGTAGTTAATCCTTACCTCAATGTACAGAAAATAATTATGAAAATGGGATACAGAGTCTCATAAAAGGTTACTCCTTTTATGGAATGCTCTGACTTTTTTAGGGTCAAGACATCTAGCTCATTTCTCAACTTCTCAATCTCCTTGTCTGTAAGGGTTCCAGTTTCCCCTCTTCCTTCCCAACCTTTTGAACATTAGCCCTTCTAAGTGGGCATGATGTGGAAGACCTCGTCTTAAAAAAAAAAAAAGTTCATTTTTAATATGTTCTTACAGTTATCTAATTTCCTTTCACAGTCTTTTAGTGTCACTAAATTAGTAGTGATAGTAATGTTTTAAAGGGTTTCCCCATGGTGTGGCAAGAATAAAGTATTAGGGAAAATAAAAAGGAATGAATATAGGGCATAGGGAAGGGGAGTCTTTTTGGACAGAAGACAGACAAAGCTTCCTCTGGATGAAGGAAGGGATGAAAGGGCAAGTATAATAAAGATCTGGATCGTTTTTAATGAGGGATGGGAAGTTGAAATATTGTACTTCAAAGGGTTTGATTTTCATGAGCAGTAAGAAGGCAATATGAAAGTGGAAGTCAGCAAGGGGGAAGGAGCTTGAAGCACCCCCCGAGGGTTTTACAAAGCAATTACAGGGCGTGAGACCCAGGGACCAGCTAGCTAGTGCTCAAGATTCCTCCCTCGTCTGAGGCTGGGTCATATGCCTGTGACAGCATCAGTCTGAACTCCGTGATTTTCAGGAACTGTTTGGCTGCCAGATGGAGGAGTGAACAAGTGCAGTAAAAATCGGCATGGGTCAGTTTTTGAAAACTATTATACTCCACGTTGCCTTCAATTTATTAACTGTTCCCAATGAGTGGAAGAAAAACACAATAATATTCTAGTCCAAACCACATTTTAAAAGTTTTTAACTTACCAATTCTAGAATACAACATGAAATCAAGTACAATCTATAGATACCCCATGACCATTTTTTAATGCATCACTTTCTTGCTGAATCGTTACGAGAAACCAGAAATGATAACTGACCTAAGATCTTCAGCTCCGCATTGGCATAAATGGCTCCGTACGTGTTTTCGGCTATGCACTGGTACATGCCAGCATTCTCAAAAGTCACGTCATACAGTCTCAATTCTCCTTTATGATACTGGAAAGAACACACAGGACAACACATTTCCTCGATAAACGTTAACAGAAACGCTTTCATGGAGGCAGGGGCCTGGTTGTCGTTTTATTTAAATACAGTCTTCTGCCCCACTGTTAACTAAGCAGACGAAGTGGGATGTTTGTGGGGAAGTAAAACCCACTTACGGTGCCCAGGGGCTCTTGTTTTATTCCTCCCACAGAGCTGAGAGTCCACCTCTTCCCTTTCTTCCCGGCTGGGAGATTATGGAGGGAAGGCAGAGAAAAATCCTAAGGTTGCTACTTGTCCCCAGGGCTACAGGTAGGACCTTTGCTCTTACCTCTGTTTCTTTGGGGTCAGGAAAACTGGCAAGAAAAAGAGGACAATATCAGGTAGCGGAGATGGAGGAGTAAGAAGAGGGGTAAAAGTGGAACAAAGGAAAAAATAAAAGGAGAAAGAGAAGATAGACCTAAGGTTGCAGAGAGTCGTTTAAGCTGAAAGAAGATAAATTGTGTTCAGTTTCTTGTTTGATATTTTTTAAGAAAACGTTTTTATTTGAGGGCCCAGGTCCCCTGACTCTGTTGACTCTCCTGCTATATATTTATCCCAGGACCACCCAAAAATGTTGCCTGAAAATAGACTCAAGAACCTCTAAGTACTTGAACATACGTACCACATAACCGTTTTTCAGCCATCGGATGGTAGGGATGGGCTTCCCTGTGGCCACACAAGGCCAATAGAGATCACTGCCTATATCCACCTCTGTGTCATTGATATGTTCTACCCATTCAGGAAATGCTAGAAAAGAAAGAACATTGCAAATATTAAATGTAGTTCTCAACATTCATCATAATCTTGAGTACAAATACTACCTTTAGCTGACCTTCACTACATAAAAATAACATGAGAGCAATGGAAAGTGACCTTCCATAGATGTGCAGGTAAGTTTTACCCCTTACTATTATAGCATGAGTAAGCCATAATTCAGTTTATAATTATTTTTCTCTTTGTGAACTGTATTATGTTAGAAAGCTAATGCATAAATAGCAGTAAAATAATTTATATTTATAACATAAGTCTTTCAAAATGACAAAGTTTTAACACTATCTCTTCCTTTTTGGGATAAAGATTAATTTTCCCCCTACTCCTTCAGGTATATACTATCTTTCTTTTGATGTAACTTTGGCTAGTAGCCACTGTAACATGATATTCTTATATCTAAAGGTATTTACTGCATACAGTAGCTATAAATGGTGAAATCTATGCCTGAGAGAAATTGATCTCAGCTTCATCAACTGATCTGATCTATTGAGAGTTTAAACAATGCTAGAAATTTTCAAAAATTAAACAAAATTTCTAGAGAGCAAACAAATAAACAATATGATAATCTTTTTGAGTGTTTAAGTTATTTAAGTTAAGTAGTCCAAATGGATCTAAGTAAAGAAATTAATATAAAATAAAGACGTAGATAGGAAAGAATCCTAAATAAAGGATAGTATTTTATTTTTTCTTTGAAAATAACTTTAATTATATTCATTTTATGACCAAATTAGTAAACTTATCTTTTATAAAGTATTTAATATATATAAATAACAAAGGACATGAAACATTTCTTTTAACCCTCACCCAAGGATATCTTTCCATTGATTTTTAGAGAGAGAGGAAGAGGGGAAGAGAGAAAGATACATCTGTATCGGTCGCCTCCTGTTTCACGCCCCAACAGGGAATGGAACCCGCAACCTAGGTATGTGTCCTGACCGGAAAAGGAATCAAACCTGCAATCTTTATGGTGTACAAGATGATCCTCCAATCAACTGAGAAACGCAGATAGGACAGGACATAAAACATTTTTATGATTTCATTGAACTCCATCAATATAATGTGTATATATGTACACATATATATTTTTATAGTACATATAATTTAGTGTATATTTTCACTTATCATTACATTCTGACTGCAACATATGGAGATAATTTTTAAAATAAATATTGAAATTTGTGGTATTAATTAATAGAGATTTTATTTTGTATATAATTTTAGTAATGCACAAAACAAGAATATCAGCACCATTTCTGCCTTGGCCCCACACAGGTGACACAGACATATCACATTAAAAAATAAAATGAGAAGACTAAATAATTGAATCAGCTTGATACATCCTATATATGATTTAATTATGTGACCTTCTGCTTGTTTGATTAGACCAAAAGATAAAACTGAGCCTGCCTCATTAGTAAAGGAGAAATAGCAGTTCCCTGAAATTACAGCCTATAAATATCTGCTCTGTCACCTTGATTTTTCTAAGGATTTACATATTAGACAGTTAAGAACTCTACTCTGCTAAGAACCTGGAGGGTAAATTTCTTAATATGTCGAATTAAAACTGATCTATAAGCTCTAGAAATTGGACAGAGCGTGGCAGCTATATTTTAAAAATATAAGAGTTCTAAGCAGAATTTTCCTCCCCTCAGGAAGCCACCCATGTGCACTTGATATGCATTCAGGGAATCTGGTTGCAGTATTAGAGACACCAGCCTGGAGGGCACAGAAAATGTCTGGGTCAGAGTTTTGTGATGGAAATAAAAAAGAGGTTCAAAGACCAAACCCCGACTGCTCCAACGTTAAAGGGGCATGGAGGTAGGAGGAGAACGGGAGAGGTGCATGAGGACACTGACAAAGTGTGGGTTCCAGAGACACCCAGAAAGTGAATCATGGAAGAGAGGGGTTGACTGTGGTAAATGCTGTTGTCCGATAAGGATTGAGGATTGACCCTCAGCTTTAGCAATGTGGATGGCGTCAGTGATCATGAAAGCAAAAGTTTCAGTGGACAAGTGAGGATAAAAATCAAATCAGAGTGTATTCAAGAGAGAATAAATTGGAGACACCATCTTTAGAGAGTACAGACAAACCTGCCAAGATTTTTATTACTTCTTTAGGGGAGACAAGAAGAAGAAAAGTGCTGCAGTAGCAGGAGTTGAAATGAAGACTTTAAAGAAGGAAGAAACAAGAGCCATTATACACTGACGGGAATGATCTCGTGAAGAGAGAAAGCTGTTTATGCTGTGCAGGGACTTCTGGGTCAATAACCTCAAGTAAGAGGGCAGGACTCAAATGGAGGCGCCAGCCTCGGATAGCAACTGAATCTATAATAATAGGATATGGGTAGAGATGCAGGGGTGGGGTAGATGTGGGGTGGGAGAACATGGACGTTCTAATGAAATAACTTCCATTTTCTCTGGGAAATAGGAAGCCCAGTTATCAGCTGGGAAATCAGGAAGTGTTCCGCTAAGGGCGTGGGGGGATAAGCGGATGTGGGGACGTGTAGCATGCATGCAGGTAACACTGAGGATCCACTTAAAGTGAGTGATGAACACTTTAAAATGAATTAATGCCTATCTCAAGTCGTATTCTAGTTCCTGGGTGTGGATACTGAGAGGGAGCGTCTAGCGAGGTTTCTCCAGGCTTTGCCTTTGCACAAGTAATCAAGACAAAGTGGAGTGATGAATGCGCTCAGAGGCTGTACGGGGAAATGATAATCATGGATCACAGATATATGTAAATGTAACTCCTATGTGTGACTTAATTAGACATAAGACAGATTTTTCATGTTTTTGGCTAATGTGATATATATATATATATCACTGTTGTTAAATTATTCACCACTAGATACTAGTTCATCCAGTAAGAAAATGGCTGTAAGGGGACTATGAATGAAATTTATAAACAGTTAAAACAATATATCTACCTTGAACGTAAATCCTTGCCTGGTGTCTGTCCTTTCCTCTGATGTTCTCAGCCTCGCATTCATAGGTGCCTTCGTCTTCCAGCTGAATGTTGAAGATCTTGAGGACGGCCCCGGAGGTGCTGATCTCGGCCGTGCTGGGCATTGGCTCCAGGACCTTGCGCCACCGGATGTCAGGAACGGGACTTTAAACAGGAGATACAAGAGCGAAGCGTCCACAGTGCTTATGAGGCAGTCTTATACATATGTTTGTAGTTAAACATTTACACAAACTATTTTCACAAACAGTACAAAAATTAATGTTTTTCTATATACGTTCATGAAAAATGTACATACTTACTTGCCTAGTGCGAAACACTCTAAAGTCACATTCTGGCCCATCAACGCATATATGTCCTTGAACTGAACTACAATATCAGCAGGATAAGGTTTTGTTGTCCCTAATAGTAAGAAAAACAAAAACATCAATGAATTAACAAACAGAATAGTTTTGTTTTTCTAATACTGAATTTTTTTTAATGATATTAGAACTGATTCAATCTAGATGTGTTTTCTCTGTACAGGTCTTGAAAAAGATCTGATCATGTCACAATGTACAGATCTATATTTTTATGCATATTATATAGAGAGTATAAATTTTAGCAAGAAGCTTCAATCATATAGACTCATCTTGACAGCTGTGTATATCCATCTGATTCAACTTACTAAAAAAAAAAAATTTCAAGAATTCTTTAGGGAGCATCAAATAGACATGAAAACATTGTGCCAGATGCCACATGGACTTAGGAAGAAAAGGAAAGAAGAAAGAAAATGAGGGAGAAGGGAAAAGGAAGAAAGAAAGAAGAAAGGAGGGAAAAAGAAGTGTCCATGGAGAATAAGACAAAGGGGAAATAGTTGAAAAGGAAAAAGGAAAGAAGAAAATAAGAAATGCATCTATTCAGACATCACTGTGCTCATCAATATAGCCACTTTATTGAATTTATGTAACATAGTCCTAAAATATGTATTATCCCCCTACCGACGAAGAAATCGGCTCAGAAAGGCTAAATACATGGTTTGGGATCACGTGTGAGTATGAACTTTATACTACATAATGCTGAGGAGACAAAGAGATACACAAAAACCCAAGATATAGGCTAAAATAAAAATAAATGATCTAAAAATGTATCAGCCAAGAAAGATTACTGGAAGTAAATGGCTCTTGGAATTTAGGTAAGAAAGGTATATGAATTGGACTAGCCCAGGTTGAAGAAATACTGTATTATGACAGTTCCAGGCATGTGCAGGAAATTACAACAACAACAACCCAAGTCTAGCAATTCAAATGATGTTGAATCATATGTAGTTGAAGATGAGCTTGAACCTACAATCTAGAAGGCCTGTAACTGTGATATTAAATACTTGGAAAGTAATTTCCTCAGTAGTATTTACCAAAGGGTTTTGGTAAAAGGTAATATAGATCTTACCTTTGGTTTAGGTCGAAGACCTTGTTGGCTGTTTTAAAGAATGGAGCATGGAGAAGAGAAATACATAAAAGAGTCAGAGATCTAAGGAAGATTGTTTCATTAATTAAGAAAAGCAGATGAAGGTCTGACCTAAGGCAGTCACAGTGGGAACAGAAAGGGAAGAACAAATGCAAATTTTGTTTTAGAGGCAGAATCAAGAGGACTTCCCCTGGGATCAATGCTTTCTGGAGGTGTAGATTAAATGTTCAATTCATCAGAATCACCTGCAGATCCCTGGGTCACCTCCCAGGCCTGCTGAATCAGCATTTCTGGGTTGTGCCTTTTCCTCAAACTTCCCAAGAATTTACATACTAATTGAGAACCATTGAATTCCCTGTCCTGAAGATGAGTGGGGGAAAGGAGTTGATTAAAAATGCTATCCTGAGGTAGTAGAAATATAATGAGATTGCTAAATGAGATAAGAACACCAAGGAAGTTTTTGGGGGGGGGGAAGTTAACAGGTGTTTCAGGAACATTTTGAGCTAAATATCCTTGAGAACCTTCTGTGTGAAAAGTCCAGGAGGTAGGTAGAATTAAAGACTTGAATCACAGGGGAAATTTTTGGAAATGTGAATTGGGAGCCATCTGCATAGGGCTCCTAATGAAAGGTATAAATGGGTGAGAATATCTGGAAAGAGATTACAGAGAAATATAAGAATGAGGAATATATGGTGAAGAATACTGCACAGAATGTGTCAGGGAGGCAGGTGGGAGATGAAGAAAGAGCAGGAATCAGGACCATTAGCAAAGAAGGGAACATGCAAGAGAGGTTGAAGAGACCAACAGTGTCATAGTTCATAGGAAAGGGATGGGAGAGAATAATAGAGAACTAATCATAGTGGGGTACTAGCCATAGTTACACAAAATGTTAAACATCCTTGCTGTGTTCATCGTGATTGCTTTGTTCTGATTAAAGAAAGTCCATTCTGACCTGGCTGGGAATTGTATGCCCTGGGAGCTTACCTGGGGAATGCTGTCTATTCTTATATGAGAACGAGGGAAAACTGTGCTACATCAAGGAAAGACTAACAACCGTGGAGCCCTGGAGGCAAACAACCCTTTTCCCTAGTCCACGTTTCCCAGCCCAAATTTCTTCCTCATGCCTGTAATCTGTAATTTTTTTACCCTTTGTTATTCTTTTTGTCTACTAATCTGTAACTGTTTTACCCAATGTTATTCCTCGTTTGCCTGCCTGACCTTCCCCACATAGCTACACAATATGAAGCACCAGCTATGGAGGGAGTTCAGAGCAGATTTAATGGGATGAGCCACTGCTCTCCCATACTGCTGGCAATATTGGGATAGATGCTCATATATGATTCAGCCTTGTCTCTGCTTAATTGGCTCAAGTAGCGACAGGCAGCCTGGACCTATTCGTTGTCTGGTTTCACATACAGAATCAGACTGAAAAGCTTCCTTTGGATTAACGAATAGGAAGGTGTTTTGATTTCTCAAGATTGTTCCCACTGAATACAAAGGAATATGCAGAGGGAAGGAATGGAGGAGAGTTTGAAGATCCAGAAAACAAAGGAAGTGAATGATGTAGTCAAGTCCCTAACTAAATCAAATGCAATGTGAACCAGGGCAATTGGAGGACTTCCCTTAAGGAGAAGGTGAAACACTTCTTCTATCAAGTTAGAAAGTAAGAAATCAATAGAAGTGCTAAATTTTGGGGGAAGAATAAGAAAGAACATTAAAGAAGTTTTTATCTTGTGGCTCTTTTTAACTCTGTGAAATATGGGTGAGAGTATCTAATATGTGGGAATAAAGGAGTTCTATGGAAAGTAACCTCACAGGGTGATCTGACCATAAATTCCTAACTGGGCAGGTCATGGTGGATAGTCATGCTCCAGCCTGTAACTTCTTTAGTGAGAGGTATTTAAAAAAAAATTTTTTTTTTCTTTATTGATTTTTAGAGAGAGAAGAAGGGTGAGGGGGAGAGAGAGAAATATTGATGAGAGAGAACATTGAATGGCCGCCTCCTGCATGCCCCCCACTGGGGATTGGGCCCACAACCTGGGTATGTACCCTGACCAGGAATTGAACCAGAGACCTCTTGGTGCATGGGTTGATGCTCAACCAGTGAGCCACACTGGCTGGGCATAGTGAGAAGTTTTTAAGTAAGCCTTGTCCATTGCTCTTGTGCACCTAGGTTAACACACCTTTGAAATGCCAGAAGTAATACCCCTGAGAGACTTAACCACCCTTGAGAAAGCACACAATCTCTTTATTCTGTAATCCAATCCCTTGCTTCCCTCTACCTTCAGATAATCTTCTTTATGTTCCCTCCGTAATCTCAAAAGCATAAAAGAAACATCTAAACTGTTGTATTCCGGAGCACTTGAGATCTTGCTCCCTGGCATAGGTCTTCAGTTTGGCTGAAATAGACTTTGATAAAAATTCTCTGTAGGTTTGGACATTGCTTACATTGACTCTACAAAGGCTGGGAGGGAAAAAGAGCCAGAAGATCAAAAGATATTTATTGAATACCAACCATCTGCCTTTTTCCCCCTCATTCTGTAATAACATAGTTTTTAATTTAATGATTTGTTCACCTTCATGAATTTACTAAGAAGTGGGAATGGCCATGAAAATAAACAGATGCCAGTGATTCTCTCACAATTAATAAACTGGGATTTGACTAATGAATCAGTCCTTTGCATTCCGTGAAGTGGAGGCAGCCAGTCTGAACTCTGCCATTTTAGGGTATTTTTATAATATAAATCACCTCTACTGAAAAGCTGAGGAAGGCCCAGAACTTTCCAAGTGCTTGTCCTCTGTTTCCTCTCACGGAGCAGCCAGCTCACCTGCCCGCCGGAATACTATAAGAATTCCAGACACTAGACAACCTTGCAAAAGCAGAATATAACAAGTAAAATACTTACGTTCAGGTAGTGGAATGAGTGGGATGAATTTGCTGAACACACTCTTCGTAATGGAAGGACTGGATACAAAGCAGGAATAATTGCCTTTGTCTGATGCTTCAACATTCGCAATGTAGAGATTGCCATTCGTCTGAGACACAAATCTCCGTTTATCCATTGTGATAAACACAGGAAATTCATTTAGAAGCCAGCGGTAGCTAAGATCATCTAGGAAAAAAATATTGTCTACTAAATATTAAGCTCTTCTCCAAATGCAAAGATTTTATTTTCTAGCCATAACCTAGCAGATGGTCTAATTTAGGCTGTTGTACAGCATATGTTGGAAGTAGGCCAAGACAAACTGCAAGTTTTCTAAAAGTTTCTATAGTTTGAATGAATATAAGCATATTACAAGGCAATTATATATCTTTCTCTCTCAATTATTTTTTAGACTACTAATCTTATTCTATTCCACTGATGAACTAAATGAAACTCAGAGGGATTAAATGTCTTGCTTAGAATTTCATGACCATTAAGTAGAACTGGGGTTTTGGAATCAAGGTCTGATCATTCACAGCTCAGAACCCACTTTCCTACTGCATTTTTTAAATAAAATCAATTATTACTAACCATACTGTAGTTTTATATCTATTTTGTTTTGGTACTCCTGTTTTAAATTATAGATTTGGAGATGAGTTTATATAACCTGTGCTGGCCACATTAAAAAGCATAAACCACAGAAACAGAGAAATACATGCTACTAGTTTTCTTAAATATTAGGAAGCATAGCCTATGGTAACTCTTAACCACAGGAAATTCCTTTAGCTGAACATACTGAATATATGTCTTCGGTTTGGCTGAAATAGACTTTTATAACAATTCTCTGCAGGTTTGGACATTTCTTACATTGACCCTACAAAGATTGGGGAGAGAAAAAGAACCAGAAAGTCAGAAGTTGTGACCAAAAGTTGAATTTCCTCATTCATTTGCTGCTTTTCATGCAGTTCTCCTCCTATCGCCCCTTCCTGGTTTGAGGAATGAATGAATCCCCAGGTGCCACGCACAGCAGTGGTGCACGAGAGGGACCCAGGGGCCCTGCACACTTCTCAGTCACATATTGACTTCCTTTAAACACCATGGCCAAGCGACTGTCACTAGGAAGATTATAGGAGGGATCTCTGATGCCAAGTTAGATCGGATTTTAGATGTGAGATGGTGGAAGGTCAAGATCTTTTAAATATAAAATAATTATGGCACTTTTGCTTTAGGGAGTTCACAGTGACTGGTAAAGCTGCCCAAAGGAGTATGAAAGAGAGATGACTACGAAAAACAACAAGAATTTCTTGTAAATAAGAATCCAGGGTATTCTATTTAGATTAGCTGTGTAATTTTCTCCAGCAATCTGCACTATCAGGGAGGTAAGTCAAGATGATTACATTATTCCCATTTTTAATCTTCATTTTTTATGATAGAAGCAATATACTTGCATTTATTAAGATAAATAGAAAATACAGATAATATCAAAAGAGAAGGAATATTAAACACTATATTCTCTAATTTAGAGTTATTGTTTGCAAATGTCTTTTAAGACATTTGTATCTGTGAATAATTCTATTATTTTAGTAGTTATCCTTATGCTGATTTAGGTCAGGTAAACACCACAGAAGAATCAAGATAAGAAGAAACTTAGGAGACAGCTGAAAATTGGGCAAGAAATCATGACATATAATCTTTGGTCCAAACCGATATATATGGCAAAATATAAAACATACTGTAAACATGCATGACTTGTAATATAATGTTTCTCTATTCCCACTTAAAAATCTAATTCAGTATTTTTGCCATGATTTATGGTTACAGTTAAATTCCAAAAAAAAAAAAAAAAATCACAGAGTTCAAGAAAAATATAGATTCCCTTACAGAAAAAAAGAAAAAAAGTTCTCAACCTTACAATGTTTTCAAGATACCACACACAAAATGTATTCAGAATACTGTGTGTTATGTGAACATGAAGACCAGCATTTTCATTCTGGACAAACTGTAACTTTAATCAGCTATTTAATCACTGTATTATCCAGTTTCTCTGAAATTTAAGACTTTGTTTTGTGTTCCACTCATAAGAGATATGTAAAGAGGAATGACATAACGTTTTAATAATTGAACTTAGAAGGGACAAAAGCCAGGTCAGTGCAATTATTGTGATGATGTTTGATTGAACCTGAGAGTCTTGCTACAGAGTAATTGGTCTGGCTGAGTTAATGCCCAGTGTGGAATCTCCACCTTACTTGTTTATTGGATACTGAGAATGTAACTGCTAAACCAGACAGATGTGGTCTTTGCCCTCTGGGACTTGTAATATGAATAAATGTAATTTTATCTAATAAAATTTAGCCTACGGATAAGCCATTCACCTGGATAAAATAATAATTGCAATACATTAGAAGCTATCATTTCTCATCAAAATAAAGGTAGGAATTGCTATTGCCATTTTAAAACAGGGACACTGAGGTTTAGCTAGGTTAGTGGACTTGCCCAAGGCCACGCAGACTAGACAGACAGAAGTGACTTTCCAACCTCCCTCTCCACCCAGTCACTACCAAAAGTGTTCCAAGATTGGTGTGGTAGCTGCCCTGCCTCTCCAATTTGAGAATAAGGCTTATTTTTAGCAATCAAGAGTTAAGCTCTGACCCAGTTCTCACAGGGACTGGAAGGATTACTTCTTTATCTGTCTTTCCTGGCCCCATGCAGATGGTAACATTAATCAACTCCCAAAAAGTCAACACCTGTTTTATTCATAGCACTGTTGACTGGCTTAAATAATACATTACTATCAAATCATTTTTTTAGGAAGAGTAAGTGTCAGCACCTGTTTCAGAAAAGTTGCTTTTATTGATTGATGTCTGAGATTTCTTTCCTTCACCTCAAGAAAGTGTGGATGATATTGCAAGAAAATTTTGTTTGGGGCAACTACAGGACATTTGACTAGTGTCATTATATTATTTTACAGTACATCACTTCTCTAACCTTGCTGAATAATGTATATTTCTCCTCAAAATACATCTGAAGTACTTTAGTGTCCCCTGGATAAATAACTTGCAAACTTTCTAGAAGATGTTTGTGCTTTTTAAAATATTTATTTATTTTTTAAATTTATCTTTATTGTTGAAAGTATTACAGATGTTCTCCTTTTTTTCCCTCCATTGACAACCTCCTCCCCACTCCAAATTTACCTCAATAGAACAGAATTTACCCATGCCAATGAAATCAGTATAGCTTCTAATTGGTGCTTTGATACCCATAGTAAACTATAAATTAAACGCATTTAGAAAGAAATGTATGCCAAGTCATACTGTGGGCTCATGTAGTCTCTACTGTGCTTTCTATTTCTGTCTGCGGATCTTTTTATTCTTTTGGGCTTCTTTTTAAAGATAATATTCAATGAGCCAGGAGTTATTCTTCCAAGAGTATTCTCACTTTGTTATTCATTTAAAAATTCACAATTATGTCTGTTATTAGGTATACTGTATTTTGTCAGTAGTATCCACCCTTCAAATGATAGACATTTTTTTCTTTATTCTCTTTCTCAATATACACATATGTGCTTTATATTTTGTGAGATGCAGTAACTCAATTTCTGATGGTTTTATTTATGGATAATTGGCCAGAAACAAAGCATTATGTTTTCATTTTTCTAGGGTTGAAGAGTTTAAAAAGTCTAACACATTCATGAATTATTAATTGCTATTTAATCAAACAAATCTAAATAGGTGAATATGCCTTCCAGTGAAATTGTAAGCACTTCATATTCATCAACTAATGAACATATTTATTTACTTGTTCGCTCTCTCAGTCCTCAGATAATTGTCAAATACTCACTCTGTGCCAGGTACTAGGCAATCAGCTGTATATCAAATGCTATAAAATTAAATAGACATTTGTAATGATATGTTTATGTGTAATTATTATTGACAAATGAGTAAACTAGTCCAAATCTGAGTTTTGTGCTTTGCAAAAATCAGCAGAACACCCAAATCCACAGGAAAATGCAATGGATTTTGCAAGAAGAGACTTCCCTCCTGGGTCTTTTCCCTGCACGTGAATGAGAGAGACATTTATATAATGGTGAATCAAGATGTTTAGTATAGTCAGCTGTACTCTATTTACTCTAATAATAAAGGATTCGAATATTAAGTGTACTAAATGCATTCTATTTACTTCACTATCAATCCAATAGAAGTTTGATAAGCATCTCACACTTAAAGTGCCCACACCTACTCCGGGTGATGGAGACTCCATGCTCTCAAGAGCTCACATCAAAGACTTTACTGCCAGACTTGATGCCTGTGTTTCTCTCACATCTTACACGAAGCCTACCAGCCAGTCCTCTTGGCTCTTCCTTCAACATACATCTTAGTTCTAACCACTTCCTCTCACCTGCACTGCCCCCACCCTGGTCCATCATAGGCTGCCTCTATTATTGCAATGACCCTCTCCTGAGTCTTTTCTTAAAACAGTGGCCAGATTCATCTTTCTATAACAAACAATGTCACGCCCCTCCTCTGCTCAAAGCCCTCCAATACAAATCTCACAGCAAAAGCCAACGTGTGTACTATGAATTATAAGGTTCTGTGCGATACAGCTCTTTTATCTCTCTGATTTCATTTCTTACTACCCACTGTCTCCATCAGCCACCCTGGCTTACTTGTTGTTCCCCCACAGTCCTGTGTCAGGCCTTTGTTCTTGCCGTGGCGCAGGCCTGGCCGGTCCTTCCCTCATATACCTGCAACATTAGCTTCTTCACTTCCTTCGGGCCTTTATTCCAAGTCACCGGCTCAGTGATGGCCTTTGTCAAAAGCCAGCCGTCTCAACACTTCCTCTCCACCCTGCCCTGTATATTTTTTTCTCCCTCGAGTTTATCTATTAATATCTAACATGCTCTATCTTTGAACTATTTGTCCTGTCTACGTCTGTCTCTCCCAGGAGAAGGTCTCTGAGAGTGGTCACTTTACCTGTTTTGCCCAGTTGAGGTATTCCTGTGGCCTAAATAGTCCCTGATACGTAACAAGTGCTCACAAGGGATTTGTTGAATGAATAAATGATTGAATGAAGCCCATTCATCCAGTGTTGCATATCGTCAAATACAGTCATTGGATATTATGATCATTTACTTTGTAGAAAATTGCTTCTGGTGATTCTTCAAAGAAAAAATACTATTCTTTCATTGAAAGGTTGTTATAACATTTTGAATCCATATGTTCCTCCTGTATTTATCAATTAATAGTTTTTCTTACAGTTATTAGAAAGACAATTACCAATACTTGATAAATAAAGAATCAGAGTTTATATACGATTGAAAACAGAGTATGTACAGTCGTTCCTTGCCTCTTCGCTCTTCAACTTTTGTGGCTTCACTCTATCGCGGTTTTTTCAAATATATTCATTAAAAAGTTGATTGAGACAGTGAAAATGATACAGCATGCACTCGGTTGTCAGAGTCAATTATACACCCCCGTATTACAATTAAAATTAAAATTACTGTACGTGTGGACTGTAGGCCTATGGATTCGAGCACCCCAGGAAGCCTTCAACGCCAGGTGCAACCTCTAGAGTCTGGAACGGATTAACCGCGATAAACGAGGGATGATTGTATACCAGATTAATATATTCCACACAGGATGATTTATAATAGTCTATTATGATTCATTCTCAAATTTATTGCATAGTATTTATGGCATAATAGAACTATAAGAATATAGAACATATAAAACAGTTTTCCAATGTGAAAAAAATGTATTTATATATTATTTTAAGACATATTTGATTAATAAAACAAGTTAAAATTATTGAAAATATATGAAGTGTTCATCTGTTAATTAGCACTTTGGAAGCTTTTATTTTAGCCATATTAAATTACTGAAAACATGTATTCAAGGGTTGAATCTTGTAATAGATAACACTTAATTTATCCCCTTTCTAAATTAGATGATTATTTTTGCAGATTGGTGTTCCCAATAGATTAACATTTACTATGCCTTTATCCTTTTCTTGTGTTTAATTACAGTTCACAGGACACTACCGATGTTAAATTGTTAATAAAATGATTGATTGTATGTCACTCCTCAGTACCATTCTATTCGAGAAATAATTTGTAGAAAATCTATCATATGTTCCCCAGTGTAACAGAAGAATTCATGGGAACATAATCCAACACACATATTGTTTATAAACTAAAATGATCATAGATCTTTGGAATCAGGGCCAGGTGGAAAGAGCCGAGGAAAAAAGGATCTATAATCACTAATACGTTATGCAAATATTGAGTCTAATTTAATTATAAATGTACCATCTTTGTTAGGAAAATACAATGTGCCCATTTCACTGCATGGAGGCTAACTCAGAGAGGCGGTAAGGTCACCTGGGAAGTGATACGGAGGGTCACAGAGCAGCACCATTCCTTTGCCTTCTTTCACTCTGACCTCCGGGCGCTCCTCAGGCGGGAAAGGGTCAAGATCTAAGGGTGAAAGCAAGGAAGAAACATTCACTCTCTGGTCAACAGAAAGAGACAGTCATTAACATTTACCTTTCAGCTATTCACTGACTTTGGATATGATTCTTCTCAGGTGGTTTGGTGAAGCCCATCAGTCAATTCCCCATTTTTATGCATTTGATTTACATATACTGCAGAAGAGTTCTGTGGGGAACGTAAGCGACAGATACTGGCAGCAGCCTACATAACTCTTGTGACAACCCTGAAGACTGCAGATATCCTTAACTTTTTTTTCACATTTAGGAAGGATCTCAATAAGGATATCTGGAAATACAGGGGCTCAGAGAAAAGCAGGGATCTACCAAAACAAGCAAGTAAAGAGGAATAACTTAGAGAGAAAATACTACTTTGAAAGGTATATTCCCCTTCTTAAGGGTGGATTCCAATGTGGGAAAGATATTAGGATGAAAGGCAGGATCCTCGTTGAAGAAACTGCAGGTCATCAATCTCTTGGTCCTTTTCAAATTCTGGGTTTTCCTCAATTCTCATTTTCTTTCCTCTTTCCTGTGCATTTGTAACTCACATATTGCTTGGATTCTTGATACTCTACTATTTGATTCTTCACTTCTTTTACTGGGACTCATTCTGTTTTCGTCCTGCCTCATCCCCTGTTGCTTGTCTGTCATCAGTATTCGAATTCTAAAATCTCATTGTTATTTCTCTCAATATATTTATCTCTGAAAAATTATCATCCTAATTATTTCCTTTTCCCAGAGAACACCGAACGCCTACATTTCTAGCCCTGATGCCTCACCTGAATGTCATTTCTTCCTCCAATACTTGCTTGACATTTCAACATGGACAACTTATATTATCATGATCTCTGCATACAAAGCAACCATTTAAATGCTCCCAACCACCCTTTATATTGTTTTTATTCGCTCTTATCCCATTTTTTGAAAACAGAATGTTTCTGCCATTTAATTAGACTTTCTTTTTAACAGTATATTTTGATAAGGTCTTCTTTCTTCAGTGCAATGCAATCAGTCCATTTTTTTCTTCAAGGATTGTTTATTACTAACAGCCCCACTGTTATCACACCATTTAATCTGGCTGTGCTTCCTGACTGTCTCACTGCCTCCTAGTAATCATTGCCACATGGGTCCTCTTCATATACCGTTTCATCCCATAATCAATTTTGCAAAAGATTTAAATGCTTACTCATACAACCACATACTGCAGGACATTTAGTTCACTCCTCTCCCAATGCACAATCCTCCTTCCGAAACAACCTCTCACTTTCATTTTAGCACAGTGTTTCTCAAAAATGTTTCATGATTGTCCCCCAAAAGAGAAATTTAATTTAATCTAAACTTAAAGTAAATAATTTAATTAAATTATAATTTAATTTATTCCCAGTAAAATAAATTAAATGCTAAGGGGTGAGATTTTGTCAGGTAGGGTTGAATTTTAGGGAGCCACAAACCAGTATGCTTTAATATTGAAGATGGTTTCTCCCTCCACGCCCCCCCAAGAACCAACCTCACTCCCTTCAGATTGATATCACCCCCATTAAGAATACATTTCCACTGATGCTAATTTTTAGAAATTTATTCAAGATTTTTTTAGGACATGGTCTTAGTTTATTTTGTAATGTTACCTTTCACTATTTCAAATACATTTATAATACCTCTCATGATGCTTTGCTCTCCTGCAATTTTTTCTTTTCCACACAGTTAAGAACCACTAATCATGGAAGACCCATCTATGAAGACTTTCTTTCACATTCCTTTTCTGATTTCTTTTCTTGCTGAACTCTTATGATAATACCTAAGTTTTACTTCAGCTAAACACACTTGTGATTTCTAAAGTTACAATTACTTACATCCAAAGCTCAGGGTGGCTTCAGTGCTTCTGACCATCCCATAGTTATTTGACGCTAAACAGTAGTATACTCCAGCATCTTTCTGTTTGTCAGGGTTGTTGATAACAAGGTTTCCTCCTACCATACTATACCGATCACTTGTCAGATCAATATCCCCATTATTCATTCTCCATCTATGAGAAAAAGAAGTACATTTCATTCAAAGGTCACTGTGACCTTTGTACTCAGCTAATATTCTAAAATAATATGGGAACAGCTCATTGTGAATTCAGACAATTAAACAGATGACTCAGTGTGGTATTTCTTCACACCCTATAATTGCATATTCTGGGCTCATGATTTATAATTTAGCTCAGGCACAGAAAGGTAAATGTTCAAGTGCATGAAATAGTCCCTCTTTTTTTTTTTTTTAATGAAGCATCCCAAAGGACAAATATCTTATTGGATTTTCTAGATAAATTGGTTTCTTAGCTGATCTATATGGTTTTTAAATGATATTCATCCATGCACTAGTTCGATTCATGCATACACAGATATGGTACTTAAAATATGAAAAGTGTTACTCTAACAGAAATAAAATATAAAATAACACAATATTTGATTTTAATATCAAAGTAATTTTTCAATAAAACAAACTAATTGAAAAGAGGGTTTTCTCAGTAAATGTCATATTCTGACTATAGAGATCAATCACACAAAATCAATAATATTGCAGATATGTTTATGGGGATTGTATTACAAGTAAATTGACTAGAAGCAGGAATCCAACTTTCTCAGTGAGATGATAGGAAGAACGCATGTGGGAAGTAGTTTTCGATTACACTGCCCACTTGCATAACTGTATAATCATTCCGGATCAGGGTTCATCCTTACGGTTCCACGTCTTCCACATGCTAGAGGGTAAGAGCCGCGGTCAAATGGGGGTTGTGGTTGCAGTGCTTATTGCCTGGGTCATTTCCCATTAGGGTCAGAATCTAGCCAAAAAGGTCTAATGATTATAGAATATCTCTTAATAAATCAAATAGTTAGAAAATTTTTAGTTTTAATTTTTACAGTGCAGGAGGTGATTTCAAAGCCAACACAGAAAACCTTGCTTTGCATTTCAAAAAACTACCAAATTGCAATCCAATAACCCCTCCTTCTCCCCCCAGCTGATGGCACTCTTGTCCTTGCTTGAACTATCCAATGTCAAATTATTTTGCATTTGCCAAGGCCATGGGTTGCTCTGTTGGGCTGATCCAGTTGTTATGTGTCCTTGCCTCCCCCCTGCCCCAAATATGTTGACTCCAAATTTTTGTTTATTGCCTAACTTCCTGCCAGAGGATCTGATTTTGCCTTTGATGTCGCTGTGTTTGGGAAGGTTCACTGATCTATTTAATTTTTACAAACATCCATGACATTATTGTAATCCCTTTCGCACAGTGTTAAATGCAGTTTTATTGGGGTCCTTATTATTTGGGGGGTAAAGGAAAGATAACAAAAGCCTTAAGGCTGGTAAGCAGAAGGTAAATGTCCCTGTTGTACCTTTCAGAATGTTGCCATGAATAACGAATTATCACAGAATGTGCCACAAATAGAAAACTACTGTGTGAATGACAAATTGCATGATTAGCAAGGTTAGTAAGGCTTGCCCCGAATATTAAGTACATTTTTAAAACTTCAAGAGTTCTTTTCCATCAGACAAACTAAATCTTTATTTTGTTTTTCTTATTATGCTGTCAAAGGCAGGCAGCCTTCATATCAAAGTTAAGCATCGCCTCTCCCTGTAGCTCTCCACATTCATGTGGGGACAGTCAGGCCACACTTGCCCTGGCAACCTCTGTGCTGTGGACTTGTGAGAGGGAGTCGGAGAGGTATTTGCCAAGCCAAGTGTTGTTCTTATTTTTATTTTTTAAAATTTGTTAAGAATACTTGATGGGACTGGAGGGAGGGAGAAGTAAGGAGTACTGACCAATGCATATGAAATTGTAGTTAGGCAAAGCTTTGCTTCTCACTGCCCCTGGGGGGGCGGGGGGGGGCGGGAGCGACAGGGGTTCGCAAGGAGAAGCATATATTTCTAGAACACTCTCTGGGGCAACTTCAGTTTTGTTGCCATCTTTCCAGACTGGAGGCTGTTTTGCTAAGGCTTCATGTATGACTGTCAAGGACAGAATGCCACAGAGTAAGCATCATGGAAATAGCTTTTGCAATGCTATCAATTAATCTAGAAAGATGCATACCAAAAAAATTGCATGTTTCTTTGAAAATCATAAAATCTATGTGTCAGTCCTGGGTCTGTGATTTACTCACTCTTAAGAAAGCCAATTTGCTTATCAGGGCTCAGCTTCCTGTCCTGTGAAATTATGTGCTTGGATTAGATCTCCTCTACAGCCTCTATTGGTTCTACTAGTCTTGTCCATAAACTCCCATATGCATTGCTTAAGGGTAGAAAAATGCCTACCCCATCAAATATATGAAAAAACAAATGTATAATTTATAAAATATCTACTTATATTGCACTCTCATGCATGAAATTGAAACACTAAAAATGATTTCAAAGAAATAGTGGTGTGGTTTCTAAATTCATATTTTATTTTAAGAATAATTTTGTAATTGTAGCCAGAGGCAAGAGAAAATGAGTTCAATTAGAATTAAATAGGGGAAAGTGCTATTCTCTTTGATAACAACTTTTTATGACAATAGAAAGTCATTTTTATATCCAGAAAAAAATCTACTATTAAAATCAATCTTGTTTAATGACAACCTTCAATTAAGTCAGGTGACAGTAACATCCTAGAGGTTCGATTTCTCCATCAATCATTTGCTTTGTCTACATGGAACTAGTTCATAGGCGAAATTCAAATTCATTGGCATTTGGTCAATTTTTTAATCTTATTCTTTGAATCAGACTAGAAACTGTTAATATAATTTTTCTGAACCATCTGAAGCAAAAAATCCCATTGCTACTTTTCTGACATTATTAATAGGTAATCCAGAAAAATAGAAAAATAATATTCATATAGATTTTCCAATAGGTAGAAACATTTAAGGAATGTTATATGTTGTCTGGAATATAGATTTGAGACTATTTTAAAAAGTGTGGCTTTCTAGAATTATTTATACAAGCACTTTAAATGTAATTAATATGGAAATATTATGTGTCATCTGAAGATATATTTAGGCTAATATATACAAGAACATTTTATCCTCAAATGTGTATGATCTCCATACACCCTTCTGCATGTTTAGCATAATCTTCATTACACAATTTTAATTTTTAAACTTATCTTTATTGTTGAATATATTATAAACATCCCTCCCTTTTGCCCCCATTGACCCCCTTCTTCCCACTCCCACCCCTCTCTTGCCTTTCCCACTTTTGTCTGTGTCCATTTGTTATGCACATATGCATATACATTTTTTGGTTTATCTCTCCCTGCCCCCTATTCCTTTTGAGGTTCCTCAATCTAACAACCAATTTGTACGTCTTAATCCCTTCACCTTTTTCACCCATCCCCCTAAACACTTTTCCATCTGGCAACCAACAAAAAGTTATTTGTACCTATGAGTCTGTTTCTATTTTGCTTTTTCATTTGGTTTGTAGATTCAATTGCTGACAGATATGTATTTATTGCCATTTTATTACTCATATTTTTGTTCTTCTTCTTCAAGAAGACCCCTCAACATTTCATATACTACAGGTTTTGTGGTGACAAACTTCTTTAGCTTTTCATTTTCTGGGGAAATCTTTATACATCCATTGATTCTAAATGATAATATTGCAGGATAGTGTGATCTTGGGTGTAGGTCCTTGCTTTTCATCACATTGAATGTTTCTTACCACTCCCTTCTGGCTTGCAAAGCTTCTTTTAAGAAATTGGCTGACAGTCTTACGGGAGCTCCCTCGTAGGTAACTAATTGCTTTACTCTTGCTGCTTTTAAGATTCTCGTTTTGTCTTTCACTTTGGCATTTTGGTGATGATGTGTCTTGGTGTGGGCCTCTTCGGGTTCATCTTGTTTGGAACTCTCTGTGCTTCCTGGACTTGTAGGTCTGTTTCTTTCACCAAATTAGGGAAGTTTTCTGTCATTATTTTTTCAAATGTTTTCAATTTCTTGCTCTTTCTTTTCTCCTTCTGGCACCCCAATGATGCAAATGTTGGCATGCTTGAAGTTGCCTCAGAGGTTCCTTACACTATCTTCATTTTTTTGGATTCTTTTTTCTTTTTGCTGTTCTAATTGGGTGTTTTTTGCTTCATTCTAAATTGATGGTTTACTTCTTGGCTTCACATACTCTTCTATTAATTCCCTGTAATTATTCTTTATTTCAGTTACTGCATACTTTATTTCTGACTGGTCCTTTTTTATGTTGTTGATGTTCTCACTAAATTCATTGGAGTTCTCCTTAAGTTCCTTGAAGGTCTCACTAAGTTCCTTGAGCCTCCTTATAACCGGTGTTTTGAATTCTTCATCTGATTGATTGCTTATCTCCATTTTGTTTAGTTATTTTCCTGGAGTTTTGTTCTATTCTTTCATTTGGGACATGTTTCTTTGGCTCCTCATTTTGGCTGCTTCCCTATGTTTGTTTCTACATATTAGGTAGAGTTGCTACGTCTCCTAGGCTTTGTAGGGTGGCCTATCATAATAGGTGTCCTGTAGAGTCCAGTAGCACAGCCTCCCTGATCACCCCATCTGGGCCCTTCAGGTTCACCCCTAGTGTGGAGTACACCCTTCAGTTGTAATTGAGTCTTGATTGCTGTTGGCACATCAATGGAAGGAATTTACTCAGGCTGACCAGCTGCAAGGACTGGCTATGCCCATTGACCACTGGCCTCTGACTACCTTGGAAGATCAGCTATGTAGGAGCCCACCACAAAAAGCAAGACTTACTTCAGCAGGGCTCTGGTACTAACTGAGTCCACTCATTGAGTGTGTTACTTATGAAGGTGGTTGGGTGATGGTGCTTCGATGTGGTCTGAAGCTGTCCACTAGATATGCTGGCTCTGTGGCAAGGTCAGCCACTGCCTGGGTTCCACTGAGGGCCACCTAGCATAAACTACAAAGTGATCTGAAGATGGCTGCTTCTTGTGCTGGGCTTGGAGGTGCCCAGAAAAAGCCAACTTGTGAATCAAGGCTGGCTGCTTCTAGTCACTAGAATCTAGTGCCAGGCCTGGGGCCACTTAATGAGAGCTATGGGGCTCACTGAGACGATGCTACTTGTTTGAAAGATTTTAGGAAAATCTGAAGCAGGACCCAAGACATGCCAATGCTATGGTAAATCCACTGGAAACAGCTTGGGTTGGCCTGAAAGCTGGGTTGGGCAAGGCCTCAGGGAATCACCAGGACAGAACAACAGTGTGAGCCAGGTTGCTGGAATCCCAGGTATGGCAGCCATTTGCCACATTGGAGAAGGGCTCACCAAGAGAACAATGGTCCCCACCAGCACTTCTATCCAGGAGAAATCTGCCCCTCCAGCACTTGCCCCAATGCCAAACCAGTCAGTTCTTCCCAGTATGTCTCTGGTGCCTTTCAATCTGCCTCCCCTGATGCTGGAGCCTGGTGGGAGCAAGTCCGAGCAAGTCTGCGGGCCCTTTAAGAGGAACTGCCTGGGGCTCTAGAAGGCTCAGCCTCCCTCAGCCTCAGTTCCCACTGGTTATAGCCAGAAGTAATGTGGATTCTCTTCCAGGCACTGGAACCCTGATGCCTGGTGTAGGATGGGGACCCCTCACTCCTCAGAAAGGACCTTCACAGCTGAGGTGTCCCTCCTGATTTTTATCAGCCACATGTGTGTGTGGGACCAGCCCATCTGTGCCTCTGCCCCTCCTACTAGTCTCGATGTGGCTTCTTCTTTAATCTCATAGTTATAGGACTTCCATTCAGCTCGATTTCAGGTGGTTTTGAACGATGGTTGTTCTGTAGTTTAGTTGTAATTTTGATGTGGTTGTGGGAGGAGGTGAGTACTGTGTTTACCTGGGCCACCATCTTGACCAGAAATTCTTCATTGCACAATTTTTAAATTGACAATGTCAGATGGCACTAGCATTATTTTTATAGTAAATAGTAAATAATTTGCATATATTTAAGAAAACTGTTATCTACTTAGGCATTAAACAACATTTATAAAATAACTTGTATGTCATTAAAACCACAATGAGATATCACCTAACACCTGTCAGAATCATTATTATCAATAAATCAACAAACAACAAATACTGGCAAGGATATGGAGAAAAGGGAACACTCATGCACTGCTGGAGGGAATGCAGATTGGTGCAGCCACTGGGGAAAGCAGTATAGAATAATCTAAAAAAATTAAAAATTGAACTGCCTTATGACCCAGCAATTCAACTTCTGGGAATATATCTGAAGAAACCCAAAATACTAATTTGAAAGAATATATGCAGCATTATTTACAATAGCCAAGGTTTGGAATCAGCCCAAGTGTCCATCAGTAGACAAGGGGATAACAAAACTGGGGTACATTTACACAATGGAATACTACTCAGCTGTAAAAAAAAGAAGAAGAAGAAGAAGGAAATCATACCCTACATGACAGCATGAAATGACCTGAAGAGCATTATGCTAAGTGAAATAAGCGAGTCAGAGAAACACAAATACCAAATGATTTCACTCATATATGGAATCTAATGAACAAAATAAACAAACAAAATAGAAACAGACTTATAGATAGAAAACAGACTGACTGCTGTCAGAGGGGAAGAAGGAAGGGGAGTTGGAGGGCTAGGTGAAAAGCCAAAGGGATTAAACAAAAAATAAATAAAACCTCATAGACACAGACAAAAGTATGGTTATTATCAGAGGTTAAGGGATGTGTATGGGAAGTTTGAAAAGGATAAAGGAGGATACATGGTGATGGAAGGGGAGACCTGAGTTGGGGTGGTGAACACACAATACAATATACAGATGATGTATTGTAGAATTGTACACCTGAAACCTTTATAATTTTATTAACTGATGTCACCCCAATAAATTCAATAAAGAGAAAAAAAGAACATGTATGCCGATGTTTGTGTTTATGTCCCTGGACGTTGTAAATGTCCCTGGACTTTGTAGAAAGCCTTGTATGACAGCCTTCTCTGTCAGTACAGGGCCATAGCTGCTGACCAGCAGCCTCCAGGCCCCACGCCGTCTGAGAAAGGAAGGCAGTACGTTACTTGTAAACGGGGAAAGGGCTGGCTCGTGCCCTACAGTTCAGTGAAACTTTTCCTTCCGGTGATTCCTCTGGGTAAATGGTATTAATGGGTTGCTCTTCAAAAATTGGTCCGAATCCTTTGTCTTCCTCAGACACTATAAGAAAAATAAAATGATTTTACATTGTGCTGGTTTATAAGAAAAAATTAAAAACACTAACATTTTGGGGGTAAAGAAAGTCAGAAACATAATCTTCATTGTTATGTAAATAAAGATATTTGCCTCCATAATCTCAAGGAAAACATTCAAGTTTTCATTCAAAATTATTTTTTGCCCCTCTCTCACCATTTCTCCCAAAGCACTCTGTGTTGTCCTGCTTGGCTACGTACAGCTCCTCAAAAGAGTCATGTGTCGTGCCTCCGGGCCTTCGCATGTGCTTTTCTTACTTCTAAAAGCACCATCCCACTTGCCTCCTCCTATCAACATCTGGGAATCCTTTATGATTTAGCCATAGAGTTCATTCCTTCAGGGAGCCACATCTTACTCGTCCTAGCTTCAGCTGGTCCTCATTTGTGTTCTCGTAACTCTCTATCCAGTTTATGGTACCTATTGTGTGGTTCTTGATACCACTTTCTGTGCCACTAGATTGCAGATGCTTGGGGACAGGTGGCTATGTGTATAATCTTGGTAGGATACCCTTCGCTAGCTGTCTAGCAGCCTGCAACAGACAAGGCTTAAACATTTTTGAACAGCAGAATAAATGAATTTCTAGATGCTCTGGGGGCATTAGTTCCTTTCTGGGGTCAGTTCTTATTTATTTTTCTTCTAAACATGCGACCAGCACTGATACTTTGCAACATCGGTACTTAGAACAATTGGTTTTAGGTGTTTTTTTTTTTTTCAATTAGCTTGAGAAAAGTCATTTTTTATGTTGTCTTCCTTTTCAAAAAAATCTACCCACTAAGAAAAAGGGCATGTATTTTAAAAATAACAATATCTATCAAAAACATGAAACCTGTTTCTTTTTTATTTCTTGTGTTCCTAAACCCCATAATGCTTCCAAAACATTATAATTTTTTTATCTAATTTTCCCATGGCTCTAGAGAAAACCAATGGGTGACTTTATTTTGGTTGGTGGAGAGTGTGATGTTTGCATTAATGGATCCTTTGCTGGGCCTTACATTCTCCCTGAAAGTTATTTCCCGCCTTCTGAGTGCTCTAGTGAGTCAACAGGTCAGTGACCTCAGATCCCCTTTGAGAGGGTTATGACGTTTACGTTCAGAGGTTCACACTGAGCATGTCATGAAATAGTCCTTAATTCCTCAAAGTAGTTCTTTTAAAGTGCTTATTATGTTTTTCTCATAAGTCTGTTACTCCACTTTTCTTATTCCCTGTTCTGTGGTAAGGTAACACATCAGGTAACACATCTTACTGATCTCTATATAGCCTGTGGGTAGTGATTCCCAACTCACAAGGTGGAAATAAAAATAGCTTTGGCGGAATACAGGCTAAGACTCTTCTTTCACTTAATTCTTATATCCACCTACAAGTGGACGTTCTCTGACCCCCCTGGCATAAATATCATTGCTGCATCACACAGCTGTAGCAGTGGTTGCTCAGTGATTCTTGCTGAGTATTCATTTTCCTTCCAGTGAGCAGTGGCATTTATAAGTTACCAGTTTTACTGTATTTATTGAGTGCCATTACGTAGTCCCTATGCTAGAAGTTATTGTCACATTCTTCCTTTTTTTTTTCTTCAGTTTTAAGTCCTTACAAGAATACTGTGACTTTTACATACTGGAAACTTGAGGCTCATAGAAGTTGAATAATTTGCACAAGATGACATAGTGGGTGAATACCACGCTGCATATACAAATGCAGCTTGGTCTTACTCTAGGCTCTATTTTTTTTCACTGTATCATACAGTACTGCCTCTATTTCTGGCAAGATCTGTTCGGTGGTTTAAGGAGAGTCTAAACAGGGTTGCTAATTATAGTCAATAATAACAAATGGTAAATTTTGTAACATCTTGGGACTCCTAATTAAACTGAATATTAAGGTTCCAAGTTCATTGCCTTTAGCTCTCCCTCCCGCAGCAAAGCAGGAGGCTTTCAAAAATAAGCTAGGGCCCTGACCGGTTTGTTAGAGTGTCGGCCTGCGGTCTGGAGAGACCCGGGTTCGGTTCCCGCTAAGGGCATGTACCTCAGTTGCAGTTTGTCCCCGGCCCTGGTTGGGTCGTGCGGGTGGCAGCCGCTTGATGTGTCCCGTTCACATCGATGTTTCTCTCTCTCTGTCTCTCTCTCTCTCTCTCCCTCCCACTCTATCTGAACAAAATATATATATAAAAAAATAAGTTAGGGTTTTACAATATTTAAAATATTGTTTCAGAATTTAGTAGCATAGAATTGCTACAAAGATTATAGGAAAAACAGGGCATATTGACTAATTTCTATCTGCTGCAAACCTGTAATACAGCAATTTTCAACTAGTGGGCTGCAAGAATTTTTAAAACATGCAATACCTGACTATTTAGACCTCTTTTCCCTTAGCTTGTCAAGTTAAAAATGACAACAGCCAACACAATAATAATAGCCATTCAGTGTGAATCAATCAAAATGATACCTATACAGAATATGTTTTTTGGTGTGCCACAGAATTTTAATAATTAGGTTATGTGTGCCATGAGATGAAAAAGTTGAAAAACCACTGCTCTAATAGGATATTTGTTTCTGTTGTATTTATTTATTCATTTTGTCAATCAAACATCTTGCCATACAACTTTAGATAATCTGTCTTACAAAATTTCCAAGTGATTTAACATTACCAATTTTCCTTTAAGTTTTTAGAGTTGGTAACTTAAAGTAGAACTGACTATGACTCATTTGAGAAAGTCATTTTTAAAAATTTACCCTTTCATCAACTTACCTCCATGACCATACCTTCTATGCCATGTAAACTCTAAAAATGAAAGAAAAAATATTTAAATTCCAAAGCAGCTCTTCTAGTTGTGGTTTCAAACATTACTCAAGTACTGAGATACTAATGAGATGAGATTACTGGCCCTTTACTACTAAGGTTAAAATATCATCACATCTCTGCAGCTATTTGTCTTTGCATTTTACAGTTGTAGTGTTAAAATTTATGGTCAACAAAATTAGTATGAATGTTCAATACTAATGAGATTATTTTAATTTTATTTCATTCTTTAAAATAAGACAGCTACAATAAATCCAACCAAAAAATATTCTTTATTATATTTGCATAATATAGATACATACATGCATATAATTATATATGTGTGGACAATGTCTGTGGTTATATCAATGTCATTAAAATTCTGATACAATTATTATTTTTTTATTCTTAAGTCATAATAACAATTACTCCCCAAAATAAAATAGCACTTTTCCATCAGATCATTATTAGCAATCAGTAGTGACTGATAAGTAATAGAATCCATTCTGTTTTAAATTAATAGCAATTCGACAAGTACTTATTGAGTTAAGGTCATTGAGATGAAGGTATTAGAAAAATTAATTGTTAGAAAACGTGTTGCTTCAGAGAGAAATATGATGTACCTCTCCTTGTAGGAAGTATTTCTGAACTATTCATACTTGTCTTAGAAATATAGTATTTTTTTTTATCCTAAAGCTACAGCAATCTTAAAACTACTTTGTTCTTAATGTGCCCGTACATATTTTGTAGATTATTTTTAAATTGTTTTTCAAAAGACTCACTAGCCAGTAATAAAAATTAAACTATATTAACTTTCAAATAAATAAAGTACAAAAGTGACAAAAAAAAACCAAGTACTAATTATTTTACCACATTTTACTTTTATTTATGCTAATAAGTTTAATTTAAGTCTATTGTATCTATATAGTGAAAATACTATATAATGATGAGTTGGTTAACTATCTTTTCCAAACCACATGAAATGATTTCAAGTTAAAACTGGCTATAGTAGGAATATTAACCCCCCAGGAATTGACAAATGTTACACAGCAGGGATTCTGTTTCCCTCCCAGAGATCCAGATTTTAAACATTTATCATCATACCACCACATAAGATTGACTAAATCTTGTGAAATTTTAATTAAAAATAAATGTAAAAAATAGGGTCAACCCCAACATATATTAATTTACTTGTATGACCCAGGTGTCAAAAGAAAATATTAATTCTAACTTTCTACACCAGACTTAATGAAGTGAATACACTATTGATTATTTTGACATAATTTATGGAGAATATGCAAAGGATATTTCTTACCTGATAAACAGGTTGTAAAAGATAATATCACAAGGTGACTAACCAGCAGCCACATTTTCATCCTGTGTTTAATAGAGGTCAGTTTCAATTTTCAAAAAATGTTCTAGCTTTATGGCAGTTGGATAATAATATTAAACACCTACATTAAGGAAAGAGAAGAAAAAAGAAAAGGAAAGAAGGAAGGGAAAAAAATGATACTTGAAGTCAACAATGTTATCAATTTTACCTTATTTTATATTCCCTTTTTTTGAGAATACATTTTAATTTATTTAAATACATTTGTAAATCCCATGCTGTAATGGAAATAGTAGATTCAGTATTAGGACTTCAGCTGCCTCCCAGTACTGACACTGTATGGCCACGAGCAAGTCAATCAAGTGGTGTGTTTCAGTTTGTAATGGTTAACAATTGAGTATAATATTATCTTTTCTACAAACCGCACAGTTGTAAACATTTCAAAATTATCGTTTTTATTTAAAATTAAAATTATCCGAAGGTCTGGTAGGTACAAAATTCAGTTAAAGGTTTATATAAGAGCTTCAACACACTCAGGCATTCTACACTGGCATTACTTGTTGATGGTTTTGCGGAAAAAGGTTGCCAAAAATGCTAATTTTTAAATGTTAAAATATAGATTAATGATACAGCTACTCCCCTTCATTTCTGTCATTTATTCATTCCACAAAAAAGGAAATAATTGCTCCTTCTATGTCAGCAAGGGAGAATCTCGGATTTGTGGGGCCAAATCATTAAAAGTTGGAGAGCTGTCTTTAAGGACAAGAGGAGAAAATTACTAGTACAAGCTAAGCTAAAAACTATGTAGGAATCTCATTAGAATATCTTGCCTTTAAAAACTTCCCCCAAACTTATGACCACATGATTACACTGGTGAGGCCTCGCCAGGGGCCTTGGAACAGCCTCATGTAAATGAGGGGCCCCACAACTTCAGCTTTACCATCTTTGTGGTAAATCCACCTCTGTGAACAAGCACAAAGAGAAGGGAATAAAAAAGAAAGATGTTTGTTTACCCTTAAGAAGTTCACAGGTCAATGGGAAGACATAAGCGTACACAGTTCAGTGAGATAGTTGTTTGGATCAATGTACTATTAAACTTGGAAACGTGTTATTCATTTTAATTAAAAGCATTGTAAAATGCATCATGGTGGGCACAGGTCTGACTGTGGTAGAAATGGTGAAGGTACTGCACTCTTAGATGCAAGTCATTTGGTGGCTGCAGAACCCACCTGCTTCTTATTAAGAACTTATTAAGAACTTGTTGAGAGCAACTTGTCCCAATGCCTTAGAAAGGGATCCCTTCAATCAAGATATAACAATAACATCAATTTGAAAAGACACTAATTCATGTTTCCAAGGTATATATAATAGCCTAGAAAAATCTCATGATGTAGAGTTGGATATAAAATGTAAATTAAGAGTGAATCTGTAAGCATTTCTTAAAGAAAATACCTAATGCTATAATATTCAATATGTAATAATATTTCAACTTCTTCTATAAATGCAAAAATAAAACATTACTGATTGCTTACATTATAATGACGTTAAAGAAAAATGTGGGATCCTACTTATTTTTTTTAATTGTGATGGATTTTAAGACTATAGTTACTCCACCCCACTCCCCTAGCATTTGCAGAGACTGGCAAAAATGTTTAGTAACTACTTCGACCAGGACAACCATATATTTCCCTTTTGGTATATATATTATGTTGAAGTAAAAAATCATTTATTTTAGAATTTAGTTGAGTTAAATTCTAAAAAAAAAAAAAGGTAGAAATGGGCCAAATTAGAAATAGGATATATTTGAAAAATCTTTGCAAGAGAAAAAATATTCAACAAATAATTTTTAAATACCAGGATTAATTTATGATCAATTTCTTGCTCTTGGACATATGAGAAGGTGAGAGCTACACATCTGTATAGAGTGCATTAAGTCTGCACTTTTAAATTTTCAATTAATTTTATTTCTTTTATATAGTGGGGTTGATCAGAGAGAAAAAAAACAAGTAAATAAAAGTGAAGAATAGACAAATTCTTTTAGGAGGCAGGTAAATCAATTAAATGATCTGTGAAAAAATTTTTAGCTTTTTATTTTGATGATATATAGCTTCATTAGTACTTAAATATAGATCTAAGTAAAATTTATTGCAACTTGTATATATTGTTCATATATTCTAAAGTTCCTCTAAAAATGTACAGTGAGTATTTTTATTTTTTTGGTCTGTTGGTTCCTAATTCCTCTCATTGAGTTATACACAATAATTAGAATGAGTTCTTTTAATGAGAAAGAAAGTAGAAAAAGCAAACACATAAACTATTCCCAAATTGTTGTGTTAAATCAAACAATTATTATTATTTTTTATTCTCACTCGAGGACATTTTTGCATTTATATTCAGATAGAGCAGGAGGGAGAGAGGGAGGAAGAGAGAGAGAGAAACATTGACTTGAGAGAGACACATCGACTGGTTGCCACCCACACAACCCTAACCAGGGTGGGGACAGACTGCAACCAAGGTACGTGCTCTTAGGGGGAACAGGACCTGGGACTATCTGGTCTGCAGGCCAATGCTCTAATTGCTGAGCCAAACTGGCCATGGCTCAAACAATTATTTTTATAAAGATTAATTAAGGTAATGTATTTGGAAACATTTTATAGATTAAGAGCACATGAAGTTTAATATGGCAGTATAGACTTCAAATAATTTTAATTTACCAATTAATAAACTGTTACAATCTAAGAACTTAAAATAATTCTAAATAATTTTCTAAATAATAAATATATTCAACTTGACAGTAAAGGGATACTGCTGCAGTTTTGAATGTAGAGGAAGCAGCACTGATCAGAGAGAAAAATAAATCTAATTACTGTTAGAGTATCCTTCAGATTTTTAATATTGATGAGTTATGTGAGTAAGATTTTGGTCTCTGTCTCATTAACTGTACAGGCAATCTGGAAAAGAAGGAGAGTAGATCTAAAGGAAGATTAGCTGTGTCCACACAGAGCAAGTGATTTTAAGAAATTAAAAATAAAATGCATAAGAATTTCCTAGATCAAGGATGTTATTTAACATTTTCTCCTCAAATATGGGAATGAGTGGCAAGACACAGTCAAAAGAGAACAGAGGCATTGATACACGGAACAGACTGATGGAGGTCAGAGGGGAAGGGGGTAGAAGGGAATGAATAAAAAGTGAAGAGATTAACCAAAGAACATACATGTATAGCCCATGGACACAGGCAACAGTGTGGTGATGGCCAGAGGGAGGGGAGTAGGGTCTGGGTAGAGGTGGGTAGAGAGGGGGGAAGTGGGGGACATCTGTTACAGTGTCAACAATACATAAAAATTAATTTTAAAAAAGAGATCAGAGGAAGTCAGCCATAGCCTTTCCCAAGTTTGACTCAACCATTCTTTAGCTTGCAACTTTGGACAAGTTACTCAACTCTGACTCTAATTTTTGTCATGTACAAAATATGGAAAGAATGCCTATTTCATAAGACTATTGTAAGGGCTGCATGAAAATATTTAATAAATATTAACTCATTTTATTAGGCCATAGGCCCATCAGTCTAGGGACATTTCTCTTATTTATTGTTTTGCCTCTACTGCTTGGCACAAAGAAGTCATTGAATGTACACTTATTGAATAAACAAAGGAATAAATGTACCACTCCATAACAGTATCCCCAAGCATTTGCCATAAACGAACTGAAATTGAACCTTAATTTCTTATAATAAGAATAGGATGGTGAGAATAGGTTATAAGAAATTTCTCTTCTCAGGGCTTTAGTCTTTCTTAGAGATTATTGTTCTTACAAATATACTCTAGAAGACAATATTCTATGCAGCAATATTTTAAAGCATCATTAATATGTACTTTATTAAGTATTGTTTGAAGTCTCTGTATTTGAATATGTATACTTTATTAAAAAGGAAAAAAAATATATTATTTTGAGCCTCTCTGTGTCACATCACACTATCTTTCCCTTTACTCCACAATATGGACTATTTCAATAGGACAGTGAGTCATCACTCTGGTTGTATATAAACTATTTCATTTAATGGGTTTCTTGCTGTTTGAATATAAAAGCATCTTTCACATCTTGTTCATACATTTGTTTTCTGCTGGTGATTGTTCTATTGTGTCACCAATTATCCCATCATTTGTGACTCCCTGATTACATTCCCTGAGCAGTGCAGTGGAGGAGAGAGGTTGAACCCATTCCTGCTCATGCAGAAGAAACTGCTGTCATTTCTCCCTGAGGACATACCACTCAGTGATTCACAACTAGCTTCCAGCCACCATGGGCCTGAAACTGTTAGAGGCAAATGAAGTAGCAGCAGAAGAAAATAAGCAATGTTAACACTGATGTGCCAGTTACAGGAGCAGACAGTTTTCTTCTCAATAACTAAAATAACAGAATGACCAGAAACAGGACTCAGAGATACATTCCCATCCCCAAGGCTGCCTGGGTGGCCAGCTCCCTGAACTCATGGCCTTCAGAGCCCCATGCTTCTCTCTCTCCCAGCCTTGGCCTTATACCAGGTACTGTAGATGCTACATTTCCCAACCCACCACAGCGTGAAGCTGTCTAGTGTCCCTGACATGTATTGTACTACATTAATGGCCAAGAGAATTCAACTTCATTTCTCAAGCATCCTTCATTAAATCTCTTACTCATACACTGAACAACAACATAATAAGGCAGCACAGTGTGACACATTCTTTTCTTTCCTTCTCCTCCTTTCTTTCCATACCTGTCTTCTCCACTTCTCTCTCTAACTTAGATGTTGCTAGGGTTCTCCTTTGAGAAATTTGGACATATCTAGATATGCATTTTTCTGCTGGACAGACATCTTCTAGCTCTTCTATTTTTTTGCTCCATCATAGGATAACCCAAATAAATTATTCAGAAAAGCTTCAGCAATACATTAAGAAGCATTTAGCCATACCAATTCTTCACAAAGTATTTCATACTGCTGTATAATGAAAGGATGTTCCATCAAGACCAATAAACTAACATTTCACTGAACTGATGATTATACAACCATTTACATTGATACAGACAATCCTAGAAATAATGATTAAATATGTATAAAATATATAATATTTTATATATTTAAAA